GACTTATGGGCACTTCCCACCCTGTCTGATCTTCTGCCAAGCACAGCTTGACCAGAGCAGAGAATCTGGCCTCAAATATGTTTTTTTTTAATTCCCTGTGTTGTTTAGTGATAATCTTACAGATTAAAATTTACAGAATTAAAAACCACCAACCCCCAAACCTATGATTTACTTTCCCATGTAGGCTATTTATTATTTTGCTATGCTCTCAGCTTGGATGGTTAAGCTAGTATGATCATTTCCTAGTCAGTTTCACTCCAGTTCTCATGGACTGGGACTACCATAATGATACAATGCTGAAGTTTTTAAAAGAGTTTTATATAAACCATGGAAATATTCCTAGAAATGAGGCACTTTTATGTAGTATAGTCCTCAAAATTTGCCTTTTTTATATATTAGGGCTGTCAAGCAACTAAAACAATTAATTGCGATTAATCGCATGATTTAAAAAATGTATCACGCTCTTAAACAATAATAGAATACCATTTATTTAAATATTTTGGGATATTTTCTACATTTTCAAAGATATTGATTTCAATTACAACACAGAATACAAAGTGTACAGTGCTCACTTTATACTTATTTTTATTACAAAAATTTTCACAGTAAAGAACAGAAAAAATAGTATTTTTCAGTTCATCTAATACAAGTACTGTAGTGCAATCTCTTTATCATGAAAGTTGATCTTACAAATGTAGAATTATATATTAAAAAAAAACGACATTAAAAATGCAACTATGTAAAACTTTAGAGCCTACAAATCCACTCAGTCCTACTTCAGCCAATCGCTCAGACAAACAAGTTTGGTTACAATTTGCAGGAGATAATGTTGCCTGGTTCTTGTTTACGATGTCACCTGAAAGTGAGAACAGGAGTTTGCATAGAATCATAGAATATCAGGGTTGGAAGGGACCTCAGGAAGCATCTAGTCCAACCCCCTGCTCAAAGCAGGACCTAATCCCAACTAAATCATCCCAGCCAGAGCTTTGTCAAACCTGACCTTAAAAACCTCTAAGGAACGAGATTCTACCACCTCCCTAGGTAACCCATTCCAGTGCTTCACCACCCTCCTAGTGAAAAAGTTTTTCCTAATATCCAATCTAAACCTCCCCCACTGCAACTTGAGACCGTTACTCCTTGTTCTGTCATCTGGTACCACTGAGAACAGTCTAGATCATCCTCTTTGGAACCCCCTTTCAGGTAGTTGAAAGCAGCTATCAAATCCCCCCCATTCTTCTCTTCTGCAGACTAAACAATTCCAGTTCCCTCAGCCTCTCCTCATAACTCATGTGCTCCAGCCCCCTAATCATTTTTATTGCCCTCCGCTGGACTCTTTCCAATTTTTCCACATCCTTCTTGTAGTGTGGGGCCCAAAACTGGACACAGTACTCCAGATGAGGCCTCACCAATGTTGAATAGAGGGGAATGATCACGTCCCTCGATCTGCTGGCAATGCCCCTACTTATACAGCCCAAAATGCCGTTAGCCTTCTTGGCAACAAGAGCACACTGTTGACTCATATCCAGCTTCTCGTCCACTGTAACCCCTAGGTCCTTTTCTGCAGAACTGCTGCCTAGCCACTCGGTCCCTAGTCTGTAACAGTGAATGGGATTCTTCCGTCCTACGTGCAGGACTCTGCACTTGTCCTTGTTGAACCTCATCAGGTTTCTTTTGGCCCAATCCTCTAATTTGTCTAGGTCCCTCTGTCCCTCAGCATGGCACTGTTGTAGCCGGTGTCACAAGATATTTACGTGCCAGATGCACTAAACATTCATATGTCCCTTCATGCTTCAACCACCATTCCAGAGGACATGCATCCATGCTGATGACAGGTTTTGCTCGATAACGATCCAAAGCAGAGTGGACCGACTTATGTTCATTTTCATCATCTGAGACAGATGCCACTAGCAGGTTGATTTTCTTTTTTTTGGTGGTTCTGGTTCTATAGTTTCCTCATCGGAGTGTTGCTCTTTTACGACTTCTGAAAGTATATGCCACACCCCATCCCGATCAGATTTTGGAAGGCACTTCAGATTCTTAAACCTTGGGTCGAGGGCTGTAGCTATTTTTAGAAACCTCACATTGGTACCTTCTTTGCGTTTTGTCAGATCTGCTGTGCAAATGTTCTTAAAATGAACAACATGTGCTGGATCATCATCCGAGACTGCTGTAACATGAAATATATGGCAGAATGCAGGTAAAACAGAACAGGAGACATATTCTCCCCCAAGGAGTTCAGTCACAAATTTAATTAACATACTATTTTTTTTTAATGAGCATCATCAGCATGGAAGCATGTCCTCTGGAATGGTTGCCAAAGCATGAAGGGATATACGAATGTTCAGCATATCTGGCATGTAAATACCTTGCAATGCTGGCTACAAAAGTTCCATGCGAATGCCTGTTCTCACTTTCAGGTGACATTGTAAATAAGAAGCAGGCAGCAGAATATACCGTAAATGTAAACAAACTTGTTTGTCTTAGCAATTGTCTGAACAAGAAGTAGGACTGAGTGGACTTGTAGGATCTAAAGTTTTACATTGTTTTGAGTGCAGTTATGTAACAAAAAAATCTACATTTGTAAGTTACACTTTCACAATAAAGAGATTGCACTACAGTACTTGTATGAAGTGAATTAAAAATATTATTTCTTTTGTTTATCATTTCTACTGTGCAAATATTTGTAATAAAAATAATAATATAAAGTGAGCACCGTACATTTTGTATTCTGTGTTGTAAATGAAATCAATATATTTTAAAATGTAGAAAAACATCCAAAATATTTAATAAATTTCAATTGGTATTGTATTGTTTAACAGTGCGATTAATCACAGTTAATTTTTTTT